AACCATCCCCTGTTCGCCCTCCTTGACCGCTGCCACCCTCTGCGAGCAGCACCTCCTACATCGCCGCTGCTCGTGTCGTCGCGGCAGGCCCAACTTCCGACGACCTGCAACTTCCTGGCGAACCCCCGCTCGTGAGCACCCGCCTGCAGCTCCTCCTCGCCAGGAACTTGCTCAGCCGCAAAATCGTCCCCCGCCGAGACAGTTTCCCGTTCCCGGCAAGCCGTTGTCTTCACCTCCGCGAGCACACAAGGGCCCCAACGAGTCGTCCTTGTCTATCGCAGCAACCCAGTAGCCGAGAAGGACCGCCGCTCCTCTTCCCTCGGCGAGCCGCGTGAAGCCGTCAAGACGTTGCCGCAGCTGCGAGCCGCCTCTGATGTGTCGTCGTCCCGTTTTCGAATGCATATCTCGAGAACGGTACTTAGGCTCGAACCCTGTTCAATTTCGTGATATGCGATTATTTGACTTGTTATATATTGTCGTGTTGTTGGTCGCATTATCGAATCGAAAACACGTAACTATTCAAGTGAAAGATTATAAGATTTTAATTGTCCTATCGTTTTAATAAGACCGAGTTGGATCTCGAACAATGTGCTTTCGATATAGTAAGTGTTTAAGTCTTAAAGAATGAAAATCGAGGCTTGCTTAACATATATTTTACGTGATTTCGATGCTCTATTGTTGTGCGATGTATTGAGTTGATAAAGGCATGAACACCCGAAAATCGAGCCTCAGTTAGGCTCTATTTTTGTCGACCAAGATGATGTTTCTTGGACAATTGTTCTTCATGTGTTTTGTAGTGCTCTGGATGTGGTTTCAGTGAGTTTTGGAATTTCGTGATTTGGAGTTGAAATGAATTTTATATGATTTTTCAAATCCAGGCGAGCATGCTATTTTGATAAACTCGGATAGAAAATTTGATTTTGGTTCATGACTATTTAGTTGGCGTTAACGTGCCTGAATGAAATTATGTTCTTCGTGACAAATGTAGAATATATTGTAAGCTGCCTGTACGAATTGGAATTATGCAAATTGGAGTTTTGGTTGATTTTGTATGATTTTTCTAAGTTGGATTTGTGCCCAGAAACTTTAAACAGTGACTGTATATATGCATTGAATGTGTGCTCTGTTTTGATGACCTAAACGTGCTCGTATGAAAAAGTTCTCTTCATAAAAATTGTATAATTCCATGTGTAGATTCTGTAGGTTTTGAATATGTATAAATTGGAGTTGTGTAGCTTGAGTTGTTGCATTTTACTAAAGTGTTGTCTATTCGAAAAGTTGTTCTCCGGACTGTTTTGTGAACTGAATGTTTATTACTTAACCTCATTGATAATGTCATATTTTGCCAATGGAGTCTTCAGAAGAGTTGTAGGAAATTGAGTTAGCTACCTTAGGATTTTTGAATTTCAGTAATATCATGTTTTTAGCTCCTGTTATCTTGGAATTACTGAAGTGCTGTAAGTTGTTCTTTTCCTTTCCGGACTGCAACTATGTTTGTGTTCTTGTTGATTTATCTTTGTGGTGATGCCAGAATTTGCTAAAGTTATCTTCACAAAAATTTTAGCTTTAATTCTTACCTTTCTATGAGTACCAGATTCACATTTTTATCATGAATGTAGCTTGAGTTATCCTCAAAATACTGCCATCCTGTTTGAATGTTTTTAAATGCGCCCTTATGTGAATGTTTGTTGATTTATCATGTGGATAATGACCTCGTCTGATTCTAAATAGTTCTTAAGAGTTGTATATCTATGTCTTAGGAATCATATGCCACTGGTTTCATGTTATTTCGACTTATGTGCTGCTAGTTGTGATCATTTGAACATCGTTGCGCATATCATGTTTTGAAAAATTATTAGTTTGATTTCGAAAATGGCACGTACCATCGAAATGCTCGATTATATGACCTAAGTGATTTATTTCTTGATCCATGTGATATGTTTGATCTTTAAATGTCCTTAGAGCTAGAAGTTAAGCAAGCCAAGATATCCAACAACCGAAAAGACTTAAACATAAAACGTTTTTAAAGAATGCGAGCTAGTTTTCAAAGTTTATATTTATGTATAAGACTAGCAAGTATAAGTTACACCTTGATAAGTTTCTAAGACAAGCCCCAATGAATGTAGGTAATTGAGGAGTCAAGCCTCGACCTACACCTTTGCTTGTCAAGTTTTTCAACCCGGAAATCCAGGTGGGTTTGTTATTCTAAAATTACCTATGCAATGTGTGTTAAATATGTTTACGGTTTTGGCATGATCTATGTATGAATGTGAATATGTAGCCTATCGATGTGAGCTATTATGATGGTCATCGGTACGGTTGTCCCCGTCGATGTAATACGGTTGCTCTTGCGAGGCAAGTCTCCTTAAGACCTATTATGAAAGGCCGTGTCCTTGCGTGGCAGGTACTCTCGCCGTTAGGGTAATGAATCCCCTTTCCGCGACTATTATGAAAAATGTGTACACAGGAGTATTTATGTTTATGTTGGAGATGAGACATATGTGATATTGTTTATGTTCATGCTGCGACCATGCCTATTTAACATATTATGAAATGTGCATTGTATAGTAGTGAGCATTAAATTTTCCTATTATGCTCACTCCCACCTGCTCTTCACGGATGCAGGTTAAGCAGTTGGCGGATGACGAGGCAAGGCGAGTGGTGGTCTATAGTTTATTTATTATTATTTGCTTCCGCATTTATGAACCTTGTGTTTTGGGTTATTTGAACATGTTGGTTGAATTCTTGAACATGTTGAATTGGTTATTATGAAAACCGTTGGATTGGTTTGCGGTGGAAAACCTTTCTATTACATTCAGAGTATGTGGATAAGAATGTTATGATGTTACGTTTATTGCTTATATGGTTAATGAAAATCTTTGGAAAATCGGGTAACGAATCCCTGTTAGTTCAGACACGACTTGAACTATATTTTGAAATGGATGAGTAACGCCGAATTATTTATGAACCGAAAAATGAATTTCGAAAAATGTTACTGCGATTATTGAAAAAGACATGGAGTTTCTTTTAAAATCATTTGGGGCGTTACACATGTATGATGATTCTATGAGATGAAGTGTGTCATTCAATGAATGAAGTGTATTAATAGTGTTTTTTCTCATTAGTATGTCGCCTTAATGACCAATTTGCAATTAAACTTAATTAAAAATATTTAAATCTCATATAAACTAATGTGAGAGTGATTATGGGTCATATAAACATCATTTGAGACCGAACTACGGTGTTTTTATGTGTTCATTATAAGTGGTACTAAAGACCCAATATCAAGTACTACAACAATATAAAACTGGTACTATCTTACTCTATGTCTGGTACTACTTTTTGTAAATGTTGACCAAAATTAAAATAATCAATTTTCCTTCACAAAAGTAGGTACTAATCGATTAAAAACATGTACCACGTAGAAGAAGATATGGTACTATTTTAGCTAAAACATGTACTGTTTTAGGAATCGTGATTTTTTTTAATCTTTCAAGTCTACTTTTTCACGTGGATCGTTAACGCGTGATTTGGATGAAAATTAGTGAAAGCTAAAACATATATATAGAATTTGGAGTACTCATGTATGATAATTCTATGAGATAGAGTGTATTAGTAGTGTTTTCTCATTAGTGTGTCGAGTTCATGACCAATTTGCGATTAAACTTAATTAAAAATATTATAAATCTCATGTAAACTAATGTGAGAGTGATCAATTCAGTGTTTTTATATGTTCGTTACAAGTGGTACTGAAGACCCAATATCCGGTACTAAAATACCATAAAATTTGTACTAATGTGAAGAAAATAGGTACTACGACGAATAGAAACTGGTATCAGTTTAAAACACAACTTCCTTAAATGAGTACTAACTGCTGGAAAATGAGTAGTTTTATAGCAAAAAATCCAATACAAATATTAAAAAAACAGGTAGCATTAGGGATCAAATTAAAAAAAATCAAATCATAAATCAATTTTTTTTCAACGATAGAAAACTCCATTAATAAAGAGAACAACAAACCGAGTACAACCCCCGAGGGGACATACTGCTCGGTTTGATGGGGGTGTATTAGAGTAAATACAAAATAATTAGTTGCATGTGCATGAGAGTAGTTAGGTAAGAAAGATTATTTAGGTAGTTAACAACTAATCAAAGCCAGCTCAGTGCTTGACAGTTGGATTGTAGCTGTGAGAAATATATATGTATCGTATTGTTTCTTCTGTGATTCAATGATGAGATTATCTTTCATATTCAAGCTTTTTATCAGCTTTTAAGATTAAAGATTCCTAACTTCTTCACCGAAAGAGATTCATTGGCGCTAGATCGTGCACCAAAAAATTAGATTCCATGGATACCATAATCGAAGACATAGACGAACAACAACAAGTTTTCGTTGATCATTCACGTTACCTAGGATCATTACAAATAGCTATAGCCGAATTTTTATTGTTGATAAAAAATTTTTAAAATTCATACAGAAAGCACATCTACTAACAAGATAGTCGAATACTCCAGCTGCAAAAGAAGAAAAAAAAAAAAAATCGCTCATTGTTAATTTCCGGATATTAAGAATCGATTGACCATCTATTGTTTAAATTAGTTTAGAAGAAAAAAAAAAAATCCCGAAGTTATCATTTCAATATTGAAAAGAAAAAAAAAATAGTTTAATTAGGGATTAATGTCATTGGACGATTTCATCTATTTAATGTTCGGAGCAAAAAGGTTATCTATACGGCATTGCATAAGAAGTTTGGGAAAAAAATTTATGGCATTGCATACTTTAAGGTATTGATAGTGTTGGCAGAAAAAAACAGCATTCCATTAGATTAGGGGTTAGTTCAAAATTTGAGGTTGAGAATTTCTCTTTTTAGTAAACCACTAGTATTATTTAGTATATACATGTATATATATATATATATTCTAGCATGCTTATTTTCATTTTCAAAACACAATTCAAATCAAGTAAATGTCCATATAAGCTTCATCAATACTATAATTTTTAATTATTCAGCATTTACTGGATAATACCATTCAGATAATGGCTTATCAATGGTTAAAGTTGCTATTTTGCTTTGTTGTTTTTACCAATACTCAAGTCCGAGGCGAAGGTATGTGTGTGACAAAGATAATATTATGTATCTAACACTCAAATATTATTTGGGCACACAGTTAGAAGAGTTACTAATTTAATATATTTTTTCAATGTTTTTGGTAATTATGTATAGTATTTCTGGACCTGGACCTGAACTTGACTATACCAGGTAAATACACTAATACTACGAAAACATTTTTCAATTTATTAATATTATCTATTTAATCTAATAGCAACAGTAGCTTCGATCTAGCTTACAATAAATAAATAAATAATTTTCTAAAAAATTAAATGATAATAAATATTTAATGGCTAAAAATGGAGCAGGACAAGTGACGGAAATTGGTGGCCTCAAAAGCTATGTGACGGAAATTGGTGGCCTCAAAAGCTATGTCACGGGCCCTGATACTTCGGATACTGCTATCGTATTGATTTCAGATGTATTTGGTAATTAGCTCTTTCATTTTATCATCTTTTGATATTTTATTGTTTAATTTTTTTTTTTCAGTTATATTTCGTGGTGGAATAACTTGCAATGACAATTCCTTCCTATTATTTCTTCAGTATTTATCTTCTTGCCCCATTAATTACTCTTATTTCAACTTTTTTAATTATGCTTTTTTTTTTAATACACAAATGCAGGATTTGAAATTCCCAACTTGAGGTACTCTCTTAACCCAATTGTGTTATAAAGTGTGTAACTTATTTATTTTTTATTTTGTTAAAATTAATATTCCAAACTCGAAAGTGCCGCACTTTCATGCATTATTACAAATGTAACATTTTCTATAATCGGTTGCAAAAGGTAAGAGGTAATATATGTATTACTCTTTTCTTCTAAAATAGACCTGCTTTGCATTTATGCTAATTCATCCTCTTTATTATTATTATTATTATTATTATTGTTATTACGAAGGAAGATCGCCGATAAAATTGGGGCAGCTGGGTTTTACACTGTGGTACCCGATTTTTTCAATGGAGATCCTTATGTTTCGGGTCAAAAAACTTGGGGACCTTGGTTTAGTAAACATCCTGCTGTATGTTATCAAATAATTATTTTCTTTTATTTTATTATTTATATATTTATTTTTTATTGATCTAAAAATCTTGCAATGTGGTGACAAATAATCAGATAATACAAATATTTTATTTATTATTTTTTAATTTTCCTTTCATTTTGTAGGAAAAGGGAATCACGGATGCAAATAAGGTTATTGAAGCATTATCACAAAGCAAAAGCATAAATAAAATTGGCGCTGCTGGTTTTTGCTGGGGAGGTCTGCTTGTTCACCTAACTATTTATATTTATTTTATATAACTACTTGGTTTAACTACAAAAGTATAACTGGATTAAACGGCAAAATTTAAAAAATGGTCCACTATATTAGTCATTTTCCAAAAAATATCAATTATATAGGCGTTGTAAAAAATGGTCCTCTAAGTTGACACTTTAATCAAAATTCTTACAAAAACCAACATCTATACTTATATAAAAGGAGATCCTATTTACTACAAATAGTATCCAGAAAAGTCAACTGTAATTAATGCTATTACTACTTCCAGCATGTATTTTATTTAATTATTTTATATTGAAATTAATGTTATGGGATTCAATTAATGCTATTACTATTTCAATACAATTTATTTTTCTGCAAAAATTCCCACAAAATCGGCTTTAATTTTTTGTATTTTTGATATTTCTGTCTTATCTTCTATTTGTTTTATCCCATAAAATCCGTTTAGTCAACAAAATCCCATAAAATCGTTTAAACATTTTGTTGATTGAAATCAAAATTTCTTTCTTATCTTTTCAGCAAAAATTTTATTATTTATGTATTGAAATTCTGTAATCCGATTTCAGATTGTATCATTAAGAATATATTATAGTTATATTATCAAATCATAAAAAGATACTAAATCCATATTGTAAAAAAAAAATAATTCATATAATTTTATAACAATTCTACTACACTATTTAACAGTATTCCTTTTTATTATATAATAAAATAATAATTACATATTATATAGTAAACAACAATAAGTAAAATTGTTGCTTTCTCTTATATCAAATGATAAATTTATATGCTAAAATTAAATTTTTATTGGTATAAATATTTTAGTGAGATAATATATTAATTATTTTACAAGCTAGCCCTAACATGCTTATATTCAATGTTCTGGCTAAAAAAAACAACGTTGGTTAAAAGATGTGGAAAAAAACTTATAATAACCCTATTGCTTTTTAGACTTAACGTTGATTAAAAGAGGTAGAAAATAGATAATAACCCTATTATTTTTTAGACTTAAACGGACAAGGGTGTGAAAATAACTCATTTAATACCCTGTCCCGACTTAATAACCCTATTGTTTTTTAGACTTAACGTTGATTAAAAGAGGTAGAAAATAGATAATAACCCTATTATTTTTTAGACTTAAACGGACAAGGGTGTGAAAATAACTTATTTAATATCTCTGTCCCGTGCACACGGGGTACGTGTTAGTAGTATACTAAAAGTGATTGCTATTTTTAATACACTATTTTAGCTATTGTACAAGTTTTGATGGAAACTGACAACTTAATAAATTATTTTTGATGACACCCTATATGATACACATTTTTTAGAAAATGACCAATATAGTGTACTAAAAATGAAATTTAGCCATAATGTTTTCATCAACATTTATTTATTTATTAATCATATTTACTATTATATTGGATTTTCTATATTTATTTATGTTATCCAATGAACGTTTAAATTGGATGATCATATCATCAGGCAAGGTTGCTGTGGACCTTTCAAAGCCCCCTTCAGTTCGAGCTATTGTGTTGTTGCATCCCACATATGTTACTGAAGAAGATATTCCGTGTAATTACATTATTTATTTCTGTAAATTTTAGAAGCAAAATGCAACCAGTTCAGTTTTCTAAATTTTGGCATTAATTAAAAAAAAATAAAAAAAAAATCCAGGTGTTAATGTTCCAGTTTCAATCCTTGGAGGTCAGGCTGACACTCAGGTTCCACCATCTCTTATCAAAAAGTATGAATCTGCTTTGGAAAAAACTCATAAGGTAAATATAAATATATATATATATATATATAATAAATGTATAGCTCTTTGAACGAAATAATACACGTAGATTAGACATATAGTACTCTCATCTTAATTATTATTAATTAATATTGTTGTTATTATTTTTTGTTTTGTTTTTTCGTTTTTGTTTTTTGTTTTTTTTTTTCGGTTTTTATATAGGTTGATAGCTTTGTAAAGATATTTCCGGGAGCTGAACATGGGTGGACAACAAGGTACAACGATACAGATGCCGCAGCTGTGGAGAGAGCAAATGAGGCACACCAGGACTTGTTGAATTGGATTATTAAGTATGTAAAATAAAAAATATATATATATCAATGCTAAAAATTAGATATCTTTTAATTCATGCCAATACAAAATGTATGTAGCAAAATACAATAAAAGCAAAATCACAATTCATCAACGTGTGTATTGACATTTATCTCAGCATTTGGAAAAATGATAATTGTACTTTGAGTTGGTCGTCGAGTAATATTGTATTTTCGAGTAGAATTAACTAGAATTAGTGCTCCAGACTTGCACACAACCTGAGTTACAAAACAAATACTATAAAATAAAATGTGTATATGCAATAATATATATGTTTAAAATTAAAACTATTTAATGGTACCTATGTAAGCTTCATCATAGGATTTTGAATAAATAATTTGGTGTATACGAAACACTTACTTGATGCGGAAGACGACATAATTTGTGATCTTGATTTTGATGATCACACGAGGTTGAATTGATCGTTAGATCTAAACTTGTTTCTCCCTCCTGACCGATTCCTTAACGTAGCAGAAAAGTGATGGGATAATAACTGCGTACCCTAATAGGAGGAGAGAGGACTAATTTATATAGGGGTGGCTTTTGATCTGGTACGTCCATCAAGTATCCAGATTAATGGCTTAGATTTGTTTGACCATTAAATAAAGGCCTAGCCCAATAGGATAATTAATTGTGAGCCCAATGCTTTCGGGCCACATATTCTTACATTCTCCCACTTGGTCCGAAAGCCCATAATTTAATAGTATAACATTAGGTGCGCATATAACAAATCTCATTATGCCATACATCATAATAAACTATGACATGATAAACCAATAGTGAGAGTTATGGCGGTTGTACACTCTCGATTCACATACTTCCTTCCATATACTACTACACTAACAGTTTAACACACCAAGTTTCATAATTATATATAAATATCATAATGTCCACTTAATTGTCATTAAGACATTCATTTCTTGTTCTAAACATAATGTATACAAAATCATAATGAATAAGAAATTTCGATAATGGTCAGAAACATAACATCAATGAGCTCAAGAGTGTGCCATAACATCATCATAATCAATCATCAATACAACCAAGACCCATTCTATGTACATGTTCTTTAAATGTCTTTGGTTGTAGACCTTTAGTTAACGGATCGGCAATCATAAGGTCCGTTCTTATATGTTCAATGCACACTCTTTGTTTCTGAACTTCCTCCTTAACGGCAAAATACTTTAATTCCATGTGTTTTGCACCTTTGGAATATTTGTCGTTCTTGGAGAAGAAAACTGCTGCGGAATTATCACAATACAGTTTCAGCGACTTGGTAATGGTGTCGACAACCCCAAGTCCCGAAATAAAGTTCCGCAGCCATAATGCGTGAATCGTAGCCTCAAAACAAGCTACAAATTCAGCCTCCATAGTAGATGCAGCTATGACAGACTGTTTGACACTTTTCCATGATATTGCTCCTTCGGCGAGAAGAAACACATAGCCAAACGTTGACTTGCGACTGTCAAGGCACCCAGCAAAATCTGAATCTGAATATCCAATCACCTCAAGGCGATCAGATTTTCTAAACGTGAGCATATGATCCTTTGTCCCTTGAAGGTATCTCATCACTTTCTTTGCAGCATTCCAGTGATCCAATCCAGGATTACTTTGATATCGGCCAAGCATTCCCACAGCGAAGCTAATATCAGGCCTCGTGCAAGTTTGCAAGTACATCAAACTGCCCACAACAGAAGCATATGGAATAGATTCCATACTCTTTCGTTCCACATCATTCTTAGGGCATTGCATAAGACTAAACTTATCCCCTTTCTGTAATGGGACAACACTTGGTGAACAATTGTTCATACTAAATCTCTCAAGAATTTTCTCGATATAAGCTTTCTGAGACAATCCCAACATTCCTTGTGATCTATCTCGGAATATAGAAATTCCAATCACATATGATGCCTCTCCCATATCTTTCATTTCAAAATTCTTTGAGAGAAAATCTTTAGTCTCATGCAAAATTTCCAAATCATTAGCAGCAAGTAGGATATCGTCAACATATAGAACCAAAAATATAAACTTACTCCCACTGATCTTCTGGTAAATACACCGATCAACAGTGTTTTCTTGAAAACCAAAAGACGTGATGGTATCATTAAACTTTATATACCATTGTCTGGAAGCTTGTTTAAGTCCATATATTGACTTCTTAAGTTTACACACCATGTGACCCTTTCCTTCTATGGAAAACCCTTCGAGTTGATCCATATAAACTTCCTCATCTAAGTCCCCATTAAGAAAGGCTGTTTTCACATCCATTTGATGTAACTCTAAATCATACTGAGCTACTAAAGCCATAATGATCCTTAAAGAATCCTTCTTAGAAACAGGTGAAAAAGTCTCCTTATAATCAATGCCATCTTTCTGAGTATAACCCTTGGCAACAAGTCTAGCTTTATGTCGTTCGATATTGCCACTCGAGTCGCGTTTGGTCTTAAAGACCCATTTACACCCAACTCGTTTTGAACTTTCTGGCAATTCTACTAGATCCCAAACATTGTTTTTAGCCATAGAGTTTAACTCTTCTTTCATAGCATCAATCCATTTATGAGACTCGTCACTGTTAATGGCTTGTGAAAACGAAACAGGATCTTCATCAATGCTAGTATCATAATCCAACTCTTGCAAATAAACCACATAATCATCCGAAATAGCAGATCTTCTCACCCTTGTAGGTTTGCTTAATGCTATTCCACGTGGTTCATTTGTGTTAGTTGGTGGGAAGTTAGTCTCTTCATGGGGTACTACTTCATCCAAATTTTGTCCACCATTATTTTGTTCTTGAGGTAGTGGAACAATATTTGGAACAACTGTGGATATTGGAACATTAATGGGTAATGGAACATCAACCCTTATTTCATTAATTTCCACAGTCGCTTTAGCACTCCCACTAACTTCACCATTTTCAATAAACCTAGCATTGCCCGTTTCAACGATTCTAGAACTATGATTAGGACAGTAAAACATAAACCCTTTGGACTTCTCTGGGTAACCAATAAAGTAACCACTCACAGTTCGAGAATCCAATTTCTTTTCATGTGGGTTGTATACTCGTGCTTCTGCTGGACAACCCCAAACATGCAGGTGTCTCAAACTAGGTTTCCTTCCAGTCCATAACTCAAAAGGAGTTTTAGGAACTGACTTACTAGGAACCCTATTTAGCAGATACACAGCAGTCTTAAGTGCATACATCCACAAAGATTTGGGTAATAATGTATTACTTATCATACTCCTAACCATATCAATTAATGTTCTATTTCGCCTTTCTGCTACACCGTTTTGTTGAGGTGTGCCTGGCATAGTATACTGTGCACATATGCCATGTCTTTCGAGGAACTTAGCAAATGGACCGGGATTTTGTCCCGATTCATCATACCTTCCATAGTATTCACCACCTCTATCAGACCTTACTATTTTCACCTTTCTGTCTAACTGCCTTTCAACTTCATTAATGAAAACCTCAAGTGCATTTGCAGCTTGAGATTTTTCCTTGAGCAGATAGACATAACCATAACGTGAAAAATCGTCTATAAAGGTAATGAAGTACTTTTCTCCATTGAAGGATGGAGCATCAAAAGGTCCACATATATCAGTGTGTATAATTTCAAGAAGCTGACTGCTTCTTGTGGCTCCTTTCTTGTTATGTTTGGTTTGCTTTCCCTTAATGCAATCCACACACAACCCAAGATCGGTAAAATCTAGATCCAAAAGAATCTCATCTTTCACCAACCTTTGCATTCTTTCTTTGGATACATGACCCAAACGTTTATGCCACAAGAAAGCAGAGTTCTCATTTGCTACACCACGTTTAATTCCAATGTTTTGATGAACACACATTAAAGATGCAGAAAAATCAACATCAAGTTTCAGTTTATATAAACCATCCATAAGAATTCCAGAACCAATAATGGAATCATGTTTATCAAACAAACTGAAACATCCATGTCCAAACTTAAAGGAAAACCCAAGAACATCAAGTCTAGAAAGAGACATTAAGTTTCTAGAAGATGAAGGTACATAGAGAGTTTGCAAAAGATCCAGGTGGTGCCCGGAATCTAAAACAATACGATAAGTCCCTATGCCTTCAATTGGGGCCTTCATACGGTTCCCCATGAACAAGAAGTTCTCATTTGGGTTTATGCTCTGGATTGTAAGAAATCCCTGCATCACATTAGAAACATGAGTTGTAGCACCAGAATCCAACCACCATGTATTTGAAGGAACTTCAGACAAGTTTGATTCGAAACATACAAAGATATTAGAAATACCTTTCTTTTCAAACCAAGACTTGCGTTTCAGGCAATCTTTCTGTATGTGTCCTTCTTTCTTACAGAAATAACATTTATTTGCCTGATTTTCCTTCTTTTCATCATTAGTGACCTGTGAAACTTTAGCAGGTCCTTTCTTCTTAAACTTGTTGGATTTCGGTTTGAGAACATTAGTAGCTCCATGACCCACAAGGTTGACCGTATGAACTCCTTGTGCCTTAAGCCTCGTCTCCTCCTGAACCAACTTACTGGCCAATTCATTAACATCCCACTTATCCTTAATAGTGTTATAGTTAATTTGAAATGGCCCATATTCAGGAGGCAACGAGTTAAGCATAAATTGCACCAGAAATGAGTCATCAACAGTCATGCCCAGGGACTTAAGCCTTGCTGCAAGATTAGTCATGTCAAGAACATGTTGCTGCATACTTCGCGACCCATCATACTTTTTGGTCGTGAGTTCAGCCATAAGTGTTCCTGCCAATGACTTATCCGCGGAACGAAAACGCTCTTCCACAAGCAAAAGGTATGCTTTCGCATCCACATTATCGGGAAGAGTTGACTTAATGTTGTTGGCAATCGTCATTCGCATAAAGCTCAAACATAATCTGTTAGACCTGTCCCAAGCCTTACGGTTTGATTTCTCAGCCTCACTGCTTTGATCAGTAATGTCAGCGGGCTTTTCTTCAAGCAGAGCCAAGTCAATATCCAAAACACCTAAATGGAAATTGACTTGCTCACGCCATTCAGAGAAATTCAAACCATTGAAGACAGTAACAGAAGAAGCTTGCGAATGAAGAGAGATAGCTGCACAATCATAAACGCTCACTTAATTAATAGATTCAGAAAATACATTCATCACATATATTGCAGGTCTCCTTTGGGTAAACACACAATATATATCATTATCATAAGTCGAATGTCATTTAGCACTTAATGAGAAATTAAATAAACTTCGTCTAACATACATAGTATCTTTGGATAT